TGCTTCGCCTGAAGTATCTAAATGTCTACTTCCAGCCATCTTTTCTTTATTCTGCAACTTGTAGTAATCCTTCTTCAAGTGCCCTTTCTTCTTGCAGTAGTTACAAATTTGATTACTGAATTTAGACTTCAATCTGCAACTTCCAGAACCACTATGAGCAACCAGACATTTCCCATCTCTAGTCTCAGGAACCAGATGCTTCATCTTCTCTTTTGAAAACAAAGCATCATAAACCTCCTCAATGGTGAGNCTTCATCTTTAGCCTCAGAAACCAAATGCCTCATCTCTCTTTTGAAATCAAAGCATCATAAACCTCCTCAATGGTGAGTGTATCACGACTATATAAAATCGTGTCTCTAAATGAAGTATATGATGATTGAAATGTTGAAGTTATATGACAAATAATAATGAAATATATGATCAAGCAAAAGAATAAAAGAAGACAAAAATATAGCAGATGAATTAAGATATTTTATTGCACCAAGAATAATGAAGAAGAGGGAAAATTACAATAGATCCTATAATTCTAGTAATCTATTTTCTCACATGTAATTATTACAAAAATTGTATAAAAGAACATAGTATTTATAGGGAACATGTAGGGGACGTCCAAACCCTTTTGGTAGAGTTGTTGATGAAATAGAATGCCAAAAAATCGAGTCCAAAACGAAGTAGGAGAGAAAAATAGCGACTAGGTACTGTAGCAGCGCCTAGGCGCTACTATAGCAGGGCTCAGACACTAGGTTTTGGGTTAATATTCCAAAATAACTCTTCTTCAAGTCTAATATCAATTTTCAACTCTCACTGAGCTTCCAAAATATAATTTCAACTTGATATATGACTCCAACAATTAGAATTCTTTAATACTTCAAATAAGAAATTTGGGTCACACCCAAATTCTAACAACTTTGTTTGTGGGTTTGTAATCAATTGGACACCCTACACGTACACGTCAATTTTAAGGATGAGTTCTACCTAATTATGTAGTTGTTACAATTGAAAAGAAGCTACTAGTGATAGGTTCGAATGAAATCTGCTGTTAGCCATGATTCCTTTGGGAGAAGAATTCAAGAAAATTCTCTTTTTCAACCCTTTTGCTACTAATTCATTAATATGAGCAATGAGCATTTGCCTTTTTTCCATTTATTTCACCACAAGTTTTGGTATATATAGTAATGACTCAACAATTTCTTTACAGTGAGAGTGAGAATATATTTGACATTGCTGAAGAAAGTGCAGGAGGAGATCTTTTTGGAATTGGACAGAGATTAATCTTTTCATCTTCCTCAATTTCTCTTTCTGCTGACGGTAAAATCATATTATTCTTGTCTTGTGTTCTTGCTTAATAGAGAGGTCGAAATTTCTCAACTAATGAGTTATGTATATTGCATTTTGCATTAGATGTGACTAGTATGGAGGAGGAGACAACAGGTGAATACTCACCTTCAGATTCAGAAAGAGGAAAAGGAAAATCTCATTCCCAATGGCAATGGCATGGATTTCTTCAAAAACTGAAAAAAGGGTCGACTATGCATTTACATCCGTTCCATCCTAACTTATCGAACTTTCTTTTAATCAAAAAGCAGTTGAAAAGAAGACACAATGCACAGAGCTTCTCAGAATTGCCACCCCTTATCGACCCTAATCTCCTATATTTCTTTAAATCTACTTGGAAGAACTTTTCCTTCTCAGAACTCCAAGCAGCAACAGACAACTTTAGCCATGAAAACCTGATAGGGGTGGGAGGTTATTCTGAAGTTTACCGGGGATGTCTGAAAGATGCCAACTAGTCGCGATCAAGAGGTTGATTAGGGAAACTCCGACAAACAAGGCAGAAGACTCCTTATCAGAGCTCGGGGTTTTAGAATATGTCGACCATCCTAACATTGCAAATGTTATTGGCTATGGGATTGAAGGAGGGATGCATCTTGTTCTTCCTTTGTCTATTAATGGGAGCTTGTCATCTGTACTCAATGGTTTGTTCACTATAAAGTTATCATTAGGCTTTCTTTTACTTTATAACAGTCAAAAACCTTAGTTTTTCCATCACCCAATACTAAGGTCAAAAGGAGAAATTAGCTTGGTGCTTAAGGTTCAAGATTGCTTTAGGCGTCGCCTCTGGCATTTCATATCTTCACGAGGGGTGTGAACGGAGAATTATCCACAGAGATATCAAATCTGACAATGTTTTGCTCACTGAAGATTTTCAACCTAAGGTTATAAGACTCAAACGTGCTCTAAGATAGAGGGTATTGTGTTTTAGTGAAGTCTCTACTTTGATGCTTAAGTTTTCTAGTTCAATGTAGATCACAGACTTCGGGCTCGCGAAGTGGATTCCTGATGAGTGGACTCAACTCACCGTCTCAGAGTTAGAAGGCACGTTAGGGTACGTGCACCTAAATTCTAAGGAAGAAAACTGGTTATACTAAATTCTTCTGAAAATTCAGTATGATCAACTGTTTTCCTTGTTATGAGCAGGTATCTTCCTCCTGAGTTTTTCATGTACGGCATCGTGGATGAAAAAACTGATGTTTATGCGTTTGGTGTACTATTGTTAGAGCTCATAACTGGTCGGCCAGCCATAGACGATTCACATCAAGGCCTCGTGATGTGGGTACGCTAGCTTCTCTCGATAACAACTGCCTAATGCCATATACCAAACATGAGAAGACTATATTCTATATTTGAACGTGTGCAGGCCAAGCCTATGCTCATCAGCAAGAACTATTCAGAGCTAGTTGATTCATCACTTGGTGATGCTTATGACTCAGAACAGATGAAGCGAATGGTTATGGTTGCTTCTATATGCATACATCAATCTTCAACAGAAAGGCCTCAAATGAGCCAGGCATCTGTTCCATTTAACAAGTGTTTACTGTGATCACACAGCTGACTCCAAAATTATTTAAAATAAGGCTTAGTTTGTTACTTTTCCATGTGATGTAGGTTGTACAGATGTTAAAATGCAACGTAGGCGTCCAGCCGATCAAGAAAAAGTTCCAGAAGAGACCTAAACTTAGGAGGACATATCCTATTAAGTTCATTGAGGAGAAGAATGTACAGCCTAATCTTCAACATGAGAGATAGAATAGAAGTAACTTCCAAAACAAGATGTTAATAAGAATGTTTGGAATCTATGTACACTATGCTTCTTGCCGATTACCCTTTGAAGATTTGAATTAGAGGCTCCAAGAAATTGGGCTTCCAAATCATAAGGAAGATTTTTAGGAGCGAGTTCTCTGTTGTGAATATTCAACTAATATGTACAAAAGGAGATGAACTATCATAAAATGCATATTTTTTTTTCATACACCTAGTTATTCATTATAGTAGTGTTCCCAGTATCGGTTGTACACGAAAGTGTTTCAAGACTTGAGTATCAGAGCAGAATCAACCACCAGAAGTAGAAGGTGGCTAAGCTCATACCAGTTTTGTAAATCCTGGGCAACACGAGCGGGATCTATATTTTGTGGATTTTATGGATTGAAATGTTTAACATACTTTGTACAAAATATTTGTACTGTCATATTTTTTCCTCCTATCTAGTGCTGCCACGTGTCATCATTATAGTCAACAAGAAATTTAGACGATAACATAAACCATTAATACATCGTTACACTTATGTTGGGGAAAGTGACAAAACATTAATGACATGTTTTTACCATTTATGTTCTTTTGGAAGACCATGATACTCTATACAATAATAGTCATGAAACGATGAATTTACATGGGATAATATTGGAAGTAATGACAACTTTGTAAGGAACACGAGATGAAACATCACCAGTAGAAAGATCGTTTTCGTCTCCCAGTTTGCCTCACAGGTGTTGGACTTTCACTGTTACCGGGAAACTCCCATCTGGCAATGACACCATCCCAAGAAGAGGTGACCATCATAGGGTAGAAAGGGTGCCAATGGCAGTCTCTTACGGTATCCTTGTGGAAATCGAGTTTTGCAACTTGATCTACACTCACCTATACAAGAGAAAAACAGAATATAGTCACTAGTAACAGTATGTTTATGTTTAATATACTGAATTGTACAGTACAACACTATATTGAATTAGAAAGAAGTTAAAATCTTGTTTTATTTAGAACAATTAAGCACTGCTTACCAAACACATTGTGTATGTATTATGAAGAAAAGATGTCATTGAATCCTCGTATTTGTTGGCCAATTAGCAACCTTTTCATGTTTACAACCAACAGGTATTGCTCTGAATGTCGTGTTTTCCTAAATGGTCAATGCATTCAAACAAGCAAATGTAGCATAAGAGTTCGGGAATCTCGACTAATGCACGTGGAATTGGAAAGACTTCCAAAATGGGATACTGTAATTTTATGGCTGAAAATCAAGATAGGGTCTCATATACAGTTTGCTTCTATAGTGATTTGTTGAAGCCAGAACGACTAGAATTCATTGTCGATCAACCCCATCATGCCTTTTCTATCCATCCTAACACCATGAGATTTAAACTACTTATTCCTAACGTATTACACAAAGTTAGAAACTGGGAGAAATTAACATCTCTTTTCATTTTTACAAAATTCTTAGAGATTTAATTTCTTCTTTGAATAGAGTTGCAAAATATCCTCAATTACCGATTTCTGTATTTTATTATCAAATTCATGGACTTAGCTTTGAATCTCGTGATTGATGCTAACCATATTTGTTTGACAAGCTATTAAAAATCATTTATAAAAGGAATCAAACAGTGCGGCAAAAGTTGTTTGTTGTTGTAACTAATAAAAAGAGTTCATTTGTCATTTCCTATATTTTCACTAACCTCTTCAAGCATTGCATGTTTCTTCTAATGCATCTATGTTGCATCTATGTTCCTTCTATTAGCATTCAGAAACAAATCATTTCCTGAGAGAGAGAGAAAAAAAAGGGGGTTTCCTGAAGTAACAAAAACTTTTAGATCTTAAGAGAAAACACGACTTTACACACGAGTGAAATAAATGAAGGAACATCAACATAAACTGTTCATGCAATACTCAATTCAAAGAAAAATGAACATGGTGCTAGACTAAACACTCAATAATTTGAATACGTACCAGGTCATAAATATAAACGCAGGAGTCGGCAGATCCAGTATATATATACTTTTGCGCCGTGCTGCAAGTCAATAAACAGATTGAGATATGAAGTCAATATTTAAAAGGAAGTTGGAAAAAATCCCTAGATAATCAAAATAAGCTTCTAAGGTCATACTGCCATTTATCGGAAAGCCAAAAAAGGAAGTTCCATGACAGTATTTGAGCAAACAATTCAACATCTATGTGCCTATTGAAATGTATAGACCATTTAAGGGCCCAAACCAGCAAATGAAACCAGACAGTCAAAAAATGGTGGTTTTAGATTAGGTTTAGGCAATGAAATTAAATCCTCCTCAACCACATAAATTCATGTGCGTCCTACCCATTGCTTCATCCACTAAAACATATCAATGAGATCAAGTCCCTGTCAACCACATTAAACCATGTTGATGTTGGTCTATACATCTCT